GCTGGCTCCCCCAGCCCCAACATTATTGGCCATAGCACCTCAAGATGTTTTGCACAGAATTAGCTCACTCATGTGGTCAGCAAGTTTACTAGGTGACTGGAAGTGTCTGGAAGGAATCTGGCAGCCTTGAAGTCACCTCACACCTGCCAGACTCTCCGAAGTTCTCTGTGTGGACACCTTCCAAGGTTGCAAGAGCAATTTTCCACTTTGATATGCTAAATGTCATCGTGGGTAATGCTGAAAATTATCCCACAGATAGTTCTGGGTCACGTGGCTACTGTAATTTCCCATGAACTGAACAAAACTGCTCTCACAGCGTTGAAAGGCCTATATTTTATCTGTAGAGGAAATGACATAAATTATCACTCCCACCTGGGTTATATGGAAGTTCCACCATTGGCAAAGAGACCCCAGGGATCCAGGACTGTAAAAACCTGGAATGAAAAAATTCACTCCACAGCTATGTTCCAGAAGTTGACTCCAGAACTCTCCCCCTATGAGTGGAGCCCTCAGAGCCCTAGGAAAACGGAAAAGCTATTCCTCTCCCCTGAAGCTTCATCAGATTTGACAGCCCACTACTTAGATTCCAACATAGAAGAAGTTGGAGCTATAAACTGTAAAATAATTTTTTTTTGGTTTTTATGAGACAGGGTTTCTCTGTATTGTTTTGGAGGCTGTCGGTCCAGCCCAGCCTCGAACTCACAGAGATCTGCCTGCCACTGCCTCCCAAGTGCAGGGATTAAAGGCGTGCGCCATCACCGCCCGGCTTGTAAAATAATTTTTAAAACCTAAATAAGTTCCCCTCTTAGAGGAAAATACTTGCTAGGAACATATATAACGCCCCAGATAATACGGTCACTATTAATCTGAACATGTAAAAGATTGAAGATGAGGGTCTGGGAAGATGGCTCAGTGGGTAAGAGCACTTGATGAGCAAACACATGCCTTGTTGGGATCCCCAGTACTCACACACGGGTGGGAGGCAGAGACAAGGGTCACAGGGGATGCTGGCCACCAGAGAAGCCCCGTCTCGGAGGAATAGGTGGAAAGTGGCAGAGCAGGCATCGGACACCCTCCTCTGGCCTCCATGGGGCACAAAGGCGTGTGTACTCTCTCTCACACGCACGCATGCAGTGCACACAGATACCCTGCACGGATTACGCATTCACATACACACGCACAATTCGTAAAAGACTCCCGCCATATGACGGTCTTACTTTTAAGCTCTGGATGATCGTGGGAGTCTGGGGAGCACTGTCATCTACTGTTGACTGACAAAGAATTCCTGGGCCTTAAGGCTCCCGCAGTGTGGGCTCAGAAACCAGCAAATGCAACCAGAAGAGCCCTGGGTCTCTCTTCTAACAGCTACTGAAAGCGAGTTCTTGGAAGCGTCAAATGGCGTCTTAACAAAAAGGGAAAAAAAGTACTATGGGAATTCAGAGGCGTCGGAGGAACAACTCTCTGGAAATTAATAGGACATAATTTTCAAATTTAGAAATCCATTGCTCAGCCGGGCGGTGGTGGCGCACGCCTTTAATCCCAGCACTCGGGAGGCAGAGGCAGGCGGATCTCTGTGAGTTCGAGGCCAGGCTGGACTACCAAGCGAGTTCCAGGACAGCCTCCAAAGCCACAGAGAAACCCTGTCTCGAAAAACAAAAAAAAAAAAACAAAAAACAAAAAAAAAGAAATCCATTGCTCAGGCAAGAAAGGACATGTTTGCTGTGGCCGGGGTCATGGCCCAGCTGCTCAGGTGGGTGAAAGGTTTCCTTAAATCCAGAACCAGATTATGAAAGCTGTCAAAGAGAGCTGGATGCCTGAGAATGCTGGGTGAAGAAAAGGAAGAGAACACTAGCAACCTGATACTTTTAAGGATCCCACCTGAAGACTGAATCCCACGAAGCAGGCCAGACAGAAGGGACAAGCAGCTGAGCAGGTTCTCATAAAATCCCTACATTTGAGGAGCTGGGGGGTCCCTCTGTAGGAACCCGGCATTATGCTCACCCCACCCCCTGACAATGGGTGGGACACCCGTACGGCATTCAGGCAGATACTTAGGCAGCTCAAAGGGCCCTCCCTGTGTTGCTTGGCCACGTCATGGCTACATCACATATTACAGGGCTGCGGGGCTGTGAAAGGAGTCAGAACGCATGTGCAAGCTTTCCCTTTTGCGCATGTACCTCCACATGCTCTCTCTCTCTCGCTCTCTCTCTCTCCCTCTCTTTTCCACCTCTGCTTGTTTCTCTCTCTTGCCCTTCTCCCTTTCCCTTCAATAAACTCCACGTGGTTTATGAATCTCTTGGTTCATGTTCCATCGCACCTCAAATTTAAACAAGCTGGGCGTTGGTGGCACACGTCTTTAATCCCAGCACTCGGGAGGCAGATCTTTGTGAGTTCGAGGCCAGCTTGGTCTACAAGAGCTAGTTCCAGGACAGCCTCCAAAGCCACAGAGAAATCCTGTCTCAAAAAAATAAAATAAAATAAAATAACAACATTGGTGCCGAAATCAGCTCAAGCTCTCTCCGTAATCTCTCCCATCATCTGCTGGCGGGCAGCCAGAGACACTCGGGGATCCTGATCCCAAAGCAACAACCAACTTTTCATCTACCCGTTTGCTGTGATCCAGTAAGGTACCCCTTCTCCCAGCCAGCATAAACGTTTCTCTGAACCCAAAGGATTGACTGCCAATCGTCCAGCACCCTTCCGGTGTTCTTGGAAGCCGGGAAGCCCCCAGCCACAGTCTTTCAGGCCACGGCTGATCCCTCTTGATGACCATCACCTCTGGTACATTTCCTCTGGGTGAGGTCCGGCACCGCACTCACTGAGTGGTACACTGAGTTTTGGCTTTAAGCCTTCAGCGATTTCTTGTTGCCACTTTTCGGACGACTGAGTCCTATCGAATTGCTGAATCCTATCGGGCCTTGCCCTTGGCCGCACTCTCAGGCTGACAAGCTCTAAGAGTGATCTGTGCCATTTTCAGCTTCACCCATGGGAAATATACATCCAATAAGCCGCCTAATGGCTCTTTAGACATTTTACAGGACTTTTCCAATTACTGCCGGCAGACAAATAAATGGAGGGAGTTACCATATATCTAGGCTTTCTTCTACCTCTCTGGTAAGCAATCTCTTTCCTTAAACTTGTCTCTTTCCCTCCTCTTCCCGGCATGCTGAACCTCTCCCGCCTGCCACAGGGGTGTCCTACAGCTTCCCATCGTGGCTAAGCCTGTCTCAGGGCAGGAACCTCCTTCCACCGGGGAATGTGCTGTTTCCCTAGACCTCTTATGCTCCTGTTCACAATGTCTCTTGCTCTCCTGCTTGTCCTATGTCCGCTTCCCTTCTACTGGGTTTCTCTGTGCAGATGCCCGCGGCTCACAGTGGGCTGGCCTGAGGCAGCGGCTGCTCGGGACACTCTGAGAGCTTTTAACTTTTCATTTCTCCCCCACGAATGAGGTTTTCGGGCTTTGTACCCTAGCACCACTCATGCAGACTGGTATCTCTCAGACCCACGAATGCATCTTTTTGGATGTTGTGCCCCTTGGACTCTGGTGTTCTGTTGGTTTCACACATCTTTCTGCCTCCCTATTGGAGAAAAAAAAAATCCAAAAAGTTATATCTCAAAACTTTCTAACCTCCGCCAGCAGATGGGAACGTGTTGATGGTAGCCACCATCTTGACCGTGTGGCCTAGCCATAGGTCTGCCACTCTATGCCTAGGCAGAGGGACAGTGTAGCCAGCCCGACCAGACATAATTCATTTCCTTTTTGCCCTTTTTTTCCCCTCTGATTTCTTCTTTCATCGGCTGTGTTGCACATGGCTTGTTTGTGATGAGACAACCAGCTACCCCAGGACGTGGCAGTACCCAGCTTTCTTAGGTCCCCCAAAGATGGTTGGCGCCCCCCAGGACAGCAGGAAGTAGTCTTGAGAACTCGATGCCCCTATTTCCCTAACCTGCCACGCCTAAGTCCCCTTTAATAATAAGAGGTGAGATTGTTGGAACCCGGCATTGTGCTAACCCCTACCCCTGGCTATGGGTGGGACATGCATGCGGCGTTCAGGCAAATGCTTAGGCAGCTCAAAGGGCCCTGTGCTGCATGGCTACATCACGCATGGTCCCGCTTTAAAGCGTGCACCTCCACATGTTCTCTCTCTCCCTTTACCCCCTCCATTCTCCCGCCCATCTTCGATTCTTTCTCTCCCCTTCTCTTCTTCCTTTTCTTTCCCCTCAATAAACTCCACGTGGTTAATGGATCTCTTGGTTCCTTTGCGCCTGTAATTTAAACAAAAGAACAACACCCTCTAAGAAGGGGGTGTGGCTTGCGGTTGAGGTCATCTCAAATGAAGATCAGGCAGAGTCACGTGTGTAATGCCAGAGACAATGCTGGCTCTAGGCATGTGCTCCACCCTTGGAGTACTAACAGAACAATCCAGAGGAGTCAGAAGGGTATTTTTTTTTACTCTGAGAAAATTAGGCTGGAGAGATGACTGTATGGTAAAGAACACCTACTGCTCTTGTAGAGGACCATGTTTCAGTTTCCAGCACCCCCGTGGTGCCTCACAACCATCTGTAACTCCAGTTCCAGGGGATCTGATGCCCTCTTCTGGACTCCTCAGCCCATGCTGGAGTGCTGCTTACTGGCTTGATCCCCATGGCTTGCTCAGCCTGCTTTCTTACAGAACCCAGGACCACCAGCCCAGGGATGGCTCCACCCACAAAGGGCTGGGCCCTTCAGTAATCAATGACTAATTAAGGAAATGCCCAACTTGCTTATCTACAGCCCGATCTTCCCCTCCTCTCAGGTGACTCTCATTTGTGTCAGACTGACATAAACTAGCCAGCACAACTGACCCCTTGTCAGCTTGACACACAAAGACATCACTTTGCAGTTAGAACCTTTCCTTTCTCATTTGCCCCCAAGATGACATGCTAATATTAATATAATAATATAAGACATAAAAATCTCACAGTCTTTACAAATTTAAATGCATTAAAAATTTCATCTCTTAAAAAAATCCAAAGTTTCTACAAAACTCCAAAATCACTTTTAAAAGTTCAAGTCTCTCAACTCTGGGCTCGTGTAAAATCAGAAGTAAAGTTAAATATTTCCTTGCTTCTAGAGGGAAGTTAAACACCAGCATGACAGCGATCCCGCCTGGGGTCTCTATACTACATCTAGGGAACTCCTGTGGGGATGTACAAATCTACCCCCAGGACTTTTTGAGACTTTTTCTCTACATCGTTAACAGGTCTTCTGATTGATGCTGTGTTTTACCTCCAATCTCAGAACAATGAGATTACCCATCATCCTTCCATTCAGGTGTTGACTTCCTTCTTCTCCAGGCTGGTCTTAAATCACGAAAGAGGAACGATGGACGTTCTTCAAATATGGATCACTCATTTCCACCTTGCCCACTAGTGACGGGTAATTCATGCCAGGGTTGGAAGAGTCATATTCTAGGAATGAGCCTAAGCAGATCAAAGAAGAAATAATGGGGGAAAAAAGGCATTTTTCTGTATGATACCAAATTCCCCATGATGAGTTTAGCTGACCACGAAACAACTTCCCACACCATCTGTGACTTGCAGTTTTGGTCCTTATAACGAAAGACAGAGCAGCCTGTGGAGAGTGCTTGGAAGCCGTTAGTCACGAGGACAGGTGTGGAAGGCGCTGTGTAGTTAATAATGATGGAATCAAGGGCATTGGGGAACTTCAGAGGCGAGATGATCTATAACTTCAATACTACCAGGTCCCAAAGGGCCAGGGTATTGCGAGCAATTTCTGTGCTGGCATTTTCTCCTAGTGATGAGAAATAGGGAGCTATCCAGCACAGGCACATGTGGTGATAAAGGACTCTAGAAGGCAGCTGCTGGGGTTGACTGTGATGACTGTGAAGCATGGATGTTGCAAGGGACCCACCCTGAGCATCAATTGGTCAGAGAACAAAGATGAAGCCCCTTCTCCTACCCATGAGACTAAACTCTTCTCCACAGATTGATAAAGTAGGTAGTCTTTTAATTTCGTCGCAGGTCTTTAATCAGATCATGAATGTAAATGGCCCTGTGAGAACCTGTTAGAGACAGAGACAGGTCCAGTTAGGATGGATGAAGTTTAAGGTACCATGGATCGACCCCCCATGTTCAGATACACACTGGCTATATGAAAACTAAATATATATGAAAACTAAATACAGGAGCCCCTTGGAATCCATGAAATTGGTGCTAATATCCCGCACAGACACACCAAAGTCAGGGAGTGTTCAAAATCCCTTGTATTAAATGGCATGGTTATTTTATATAACCTACCCACTGTGGTAGAGTATTGTTTTTAGGTGTGTGACTTTTGTTTATGCTGCACTTGTTGTGGTTCTTTGCCTGTCTAAAACACCTGATAGTCTAATAAAGAGCTGAATGGCCAATAGCAAGGCAGGAGCAAGGGTAGGTGGGGCTGGCAGGCAGAGATGATGAATGGAAGGAGAAATGAGGAAGAGGAGTAACAAGAGAACAAGGAGAGGAGGACTTCAGGGGCCAGCCAGCCATGGAGTAAGAAGTAATGTAAAATATACAGAACAGAAAGTTAAACGCTAAGAGGCAAAAGGTAGTGGGGTTAATTTAAGAAAAAGCTGGCTAGAAACAAGCCAAGCTAAGGCCAGGCACTCTTAGCCAAGAATAAGCCTCTGTGGGTGATTTATTTGGGAACTGGATGGTGAGCCCCTCAAAAAAGCCAAAAGAGGAAGAGCACAACCATCATGCAATAACCCACATCTTGCATCATCTAGACCCCCTCTAGATTACCTATACTATGTAAGACAGTGTCAAAAGTGAGGTGAATAGCTGCTACCCTGTATCATTAGACCCCAATGACAAAACAGCCAATACGTAAACACTGCAGACGCTATGTTTGATCGGCACTTGGTTGAGTCCATAGATACGGCACCCAAGGATACAGAGGTGGACTGTGTGTGGGGCCTCTAGTATAGCGGCAGTTAGGGAAATGAGGAAAGAGCATGAGATCCCTTCAGAAGAGAATATGGAGTGAGGACAGCAGTGGCCAACGGGAAATCCACCAGCATCTGCTGACTGCCCTGTGGTCATTTGTGTTCCTCCTCTTGATCAGTAAGAGCCCAGCCCAAGAGACTTAACAACCCTGAGATTAGAGGCATGCTTTAAAAGTGCCTGAGAGCTTTTGCCCAGCAGAGGCAAGCAATGCACTACTTGTCTTGATGCCCACAGCTCCCTGGCATAGTTATCTCATTAAACAGAGTGAAGGCTAAAAACTCAGAACAAGCCGGGCAATGGTGTCGCAAGCCTTTAATCCCAGCACTTGGGAGATAGAGGCAAGCAAGTTATCTGTGAGTTCAAGGTCAGCCTCATCTACAGAGCAAGTTCCTGGACAGCCTCCAAAGCCACAGAGAAACCCTATCTTGAAAAAACAAGAAAACAATTGAGCTCTTTGTAGCAGATGGTACTGTCAGTTCTATTTTTGGCTTTGCCACAGGATGTGTGTCTCACATCCTATGGGCAAAAACAAAATGCCTATGTTGTGTATAGCAGACTTCCAAAAGCAGATAATACCTAGAAGCGCTGCTAAATGAGCATTCACTGTCCACACTAGTGAAGCCCGCTGCCTTTAGATCCTCTAGAGACCAGCTGGAGCACAAACGAAGACAAATAGAAATGTAAACAAACGCATCAGGAAGATTTGCTTTTCAACAGTATAACCGTAGGTTTTCAGCCACATCTATATAAATGTTAGCAGTGTTCACCCCTGCTACCAAGAGGGAAGCTTTTGTTGAAAGGCTTTGGCTTTAGTGTTGGGTATCAAAGAAAAAGGACCAGGAAACCCTGTCCTCCAGAGACTGTGTGAGCCTGTTTTCTGTTACCAGAAAATATCTAAGTGAAAACTGTTAAAACCCTCCACCCCAAATGTATGGACATAATGGCAAAAGGAGGCCTAGAGAGGTGACGTCACTTACCCACTGTAATGGCACTACAAAGTATGAGGTCAAAAGCTTTTTAGAGCCAGGCGTGCTGAAGCACACACCTTTAATCCCAGCACTCAGGAGGCAGAGGCAGGTGGACCTCTGTGAGTTCCAGGCCAGCCTGCTCTTCAAAGTGAGTTCCAGGACAGGCTCTCAAAAAACACAAACAACAAAAGAGCTTCTTTAACTTTACTTATCCCAAGGTACACTCACTATGTAACTGCCACCCAGAGAAAAAGAAGCAACCATAAAGGCTCCCTCTCCCAACTACCAACCTGCCCTCCCCAAGGGAACCACCATGCCATGTTCTAAGACCTCAGTTTGCCTACTGTGTGTTCTCACAGGAGTAGGATCACATAGTGTGTATGTGCTTACATTCAGTTTCTTACATGTAGTCAAGGGACTGGGTCCCATTATGTTTCACTCACCACCATTTAGTGACTTTCTTGTCCTGGATACTCAGCTGTGACACTTCTGTGTTTGTGTGGGTGTGTTCATGTGTATGTACCTACATGTGTGTACTAGTTCATGTGCATGTGTTTCCACGTTCATGATGTGTGTGCACGTTCATGTGTTTGTACGTGCATGTATATACATGTTCGTGTGCATGTGTGTGCACATTCATGTGTATGTACATGCATGTGTGTCCATGTTCATGTGTATGTAAGCGCATGTGTGTCCATGTTCATGTGTATATATGTGCATGTGTGTGCAAGTGCATATGAGGACAAGCATGGCTGCTATTCCTCAGGAACCACCCACCTTGCTTTCTGACCTCACCTATTCAGCCAGTGGTCAGGGGTCTCAGCCCACCAGCTTCTGTCCCTCTCTGATCCTAAGGTGGAACTTTCCTTAAGAGGCATCCATTTCAGATACTTTAGTCCCACTTGAAGACCCCTTAGAGCAGTGGTTCTCACCCTTCCTAACGCTGTGACCCTTTAATACAGTTCCTCATGCTGTGATGACCGCCAACCATAACATTATTGTCATCGCTACTTTACAACTGTATTTTGCTACTGCTATGAATAATAATGTAAATATCTGATATACAGGTATAGAGAGAAGCCTTTTCCTTGCCAGCGGCTTAGTCCCCACCCCACCCCCACCCCCGCCAGTCCCCAAATAACACACAAGACGCTGTATTAATTATGAAGCTGTTGGCCTTGCTCGTTTCTTGCTGGCTAACTCTGACTTAAGTATTTACCCCATAATTGTTAATCTAAATATTTCTCTTACCGGAGAAGTTTCCAGGCTTCTTATCCCTATGGCGGTTACATCTTGACTCCCTGTGTTTCTCCTACCCAGAGTCCTCCTGGACTCCTAGTCCCACCTGTCTCGCTTCCCTATTGGCCAACAGTGCTTTATTGACATATACACAGGACTTCCCCCATCATACAGGGTATCTGATATTCGACCCCTGTGAAAGGGTTGTTCAGCTCTAAGGGGTCATGACCCACAGGTCGGAAACATCACCTTAGAGTGTCTCCTTCACACTCTGTAACACACATAGCACATTTGTCAAAGGAGAATTGACACTCACGTTGTCCTCTGAAACTTCAGCTGTGTCCTGTCCACCAGGCAGAACTGGAGCTCATGGGGACAAACTCAAGTCTAGGCAATATGGCTGACACTTCTCCATAGCAAGGGTGTGCTTAGCAACACCTAGAGAATAGCCCAGCGTGGTGGCACAGTAAGACCTCTAAGAAAATAAGTGGGGTGTATGACACACACATGTAATCTCAGTACTTATAAAGCTTGGGCAGGAGGATCACCATGAGTTCAAGGCCAACCATGGGCTATGGAGTAAAACCCCATAGAAGGCAAAAGGAAAGGAAAGGAAAGGAAAGGAAAGGAAAGGAAAGGAAAGGAAAGGAAAGGAAAGGAAAGGAAAGGAAAGGAAAGGAAAAAGAAAAGGAGGGAAAAAAAACCTTTCTTTGCTTCTCTGCCTGGTCATTCGCTCTCCCTGCAGGTGTGTGGAGAGAGGTCGGAGAACCAGTCTGATATCTTCCTGATGGGTCAGTTTTACTCACAGATTTGGGGTGAATACATAAGTTAATTGGTCCCAATGGTTTCAAGTCATCTTTACGTAAGAGCGATTATGGACATATTCACAAGGTCATAACTTAGAAACTCTCTAAAATAAAGATGGAAGACTCTGAGAGGTAGTTGCCTAGGGGCTTGAACCCTCTCTTCTGGATCCAGCATCTGCTTTTCTTAGCAATGGGGAGAGCTCAGAAGGTAGGGATGAGTGGCATATATATGGCAAAATGATGGTCCCATGGTGCATGTGGGTCTCCCAGGAGCCCTGCGCTGATAACACAATGGCAGACACAAGACTTTGGCTGCCCGTTTCCCACCAGTGAATGAATGCTGGTGACAGTGTTAGTTTTGTCACTGGCGTCATTCTAAACTTTACAGACACCCATCATACCCCCTCATATTGGCTTGAGTTTAGAATACATCAATGCCCTGCACCCTGCACATATGCCCTCTGCTACCAGGCCCAGCAAGTGGCAGCTGAGAAAAGAGGAAGGGTTTGACCACCCCTCCCTCTAGCCTGTTTGATATTCCGCAGAGGAAGAGACACAGTGGGCAGAATCCTTAGCTGAACCTGCCTGGCTGAACTGAAGGCTGGAGAGCACTTGGCAGAACAGCCAGGGAGCAAAAATGGGCACAAGCTCCAAAACCCTCACACTGAAAGGGAGCAGGGGCATGGGGTGCCCTCTGCTGTCCCACCCATGGGGCAGCCATGGAGGCATGGGAGAGGAGGAAGCTGTGACGCCAGGTTTTGGACTCATCCATGAACAGTCTAGAGTGGTTGGAGGAATCAGCAGGCCCTACCTCAAAGCTACTAGCAGCTAAGGGCTCTACGTAAAGACGGTTGGGGAAATGTTCGTGTCTCAGGGTCAGGGAGTAGGATGACACTGAGTCCCAGGGAGTAGGAGGTCACTGAAGTAAGAGGACAGAGGAAAGGATGCAGGAGGAGGGACAAAGATGAGCCAGGCGGCTACATTAGATGTAAGAGTATTTGTGGGCCGGGCGTTGGTGGCGCACGCCTTTAATCCCAGCACTCGGGAGGCAGAGGCAGG